GCAAGGCCAGTATTTCCTTTCTCACATGTACCATGTGCATCTTTATTTTTATTTGGAGAAAAATAAGAAGTGATATCTGTTTTGCTTTTGTGATGCATACATCTTTTAAAGAGCATGTTTAATGTCAACCAGAGGTCTATGCTTTGAGAGAAGAAAACAAATTCTCCTCTTTACAATCGTAGCAAGAATAGGTTCCCACCTAAATACCAAGTCCACCCTTTAGTGTTTCACCTTATAGGTTGGTTTTTGGAAAAGCTTGTCATTTACCAGTTGAAACTGATCATAGGTCTTATTGGGCTGTTAGGGAAGTTAGTTTAGACTGATGTAGTTGGAAAAGAGAGAAAATTGCAACTTTCAGAGTTAGAAGAAATAAGACTTGAAGCTTATGACAACTCAGTAATTTATAAGGGTAAAGCTAAGGCCTTTCATGATGCCAAACTCACTAGGAAACAGTTTGACATAGGTGATAAGGTGATGTTATATAACTCTAAATTACATTTGTTTCTTGGAAAGTTAAGGTCAAGATGGCTTGGACCCTTTGAAGTGTTAGAAACTTTTCCTCATGGGGCTATGGTAATTAGAGGTTTCACTACTAATAAGATTTTTAAAGTTAATGGACATAGATTGAAGGTGTATCACCAAGGTGAACAGGTTGCTAAGGTCTAGGACAGTTTCCTCAAGGAGCTATGAAATAAGGCAGTAAAGTCTAGCCAGGACTACTAAACAGGGCAGCTAGCACAAAACCAAAAAGAAATTTGGCATTTTAGTCACATCTCTGTTCTCTTTTATATTTAGTTTTTTTCTTTTATTTTCTTTGCATTAGTTTAGGATCATTTTTCTTTAAGCTTTCATTAACTCAATCATCATAACTTGCCTTGAGGACAGTGCATAGACTAAGTGTGGGGGTGTGAAAATGCTTCTCAGCACTTAGATCTATGAAACCCTTGGGTCTTGGATAAAAAAAAAACTGCACTTTAATCTGAAAAAGAAACAAAAAGGACACTGATTTGTTTTTAAACAAGCTGCATTTGATTTTATTCTAAGTGATAAGGAAGGGTGTAGTTTGTAAGAACATATTAGGAGTTATAAATCTGATTTTCACCCTAAAGCAAACACTCCTGCATTTTAAACTTTGCTTATACCAGGCCTGCACAGCTACATTTTGGGTGTTTCTGAAAAAAAAAGTGCAGTTTTTGAGTACGAAAAAAGAGAGAGATTTGCAGCTTTTGGAAAAAAAGATTTTTTTAGAAGAAAGAAAAGAAATTTTGGGACTCCTCATACCTCACCACGTTTAAAGAAAAGTATGTGCATCTTTTTAGAGAGAATCTTGATCAAGATTGCAATCTTTTTACTTAACTTATTTTTAGGTAATCTATGTTCAACAGTATTTTGCATATTAAGTTCATGTTTTGTCTCTTTATTTTTCACATCATTTCTAGGTGAACTGAACTTGCAAAAGTTCTTTTAAATCCTATTTCTAATTTTAAAGATTTGCAAGATGTGCATATAGAATATTGGCTTTTCGAGCCAGCCTACTTGGTTTCTTAGGGTCCGTTTGGTGAATTTCGGAGGAATAATATGATACGGTGTTCTGAAATTTGAAAAAAAGATCTGGACTTTGAAATCTGAAATGAAAGTGTCTGGAGAAATAAAAAAGGAAATGAAGTATACACTTGTTCCATTTTCAGTAACTGTTGCTTGGGAACTGAGGCTTGAATTTCATTTTTCCTGCGAACTTATGTAATATTTTTAATAATTAATTCTATTGTCGTGAAGGTTTAAATTTAAATTAAGGTTATTTTAATTGCTGGTTAAATCCATTGCTTAATATAATCTGGGAAGATATATTGTTAAAGGTTTTCAAGTATGGGAATGTAAACCAAATTCTTTTTTGAGAATAAATAGAGTACAGAGTTGCTTGTCTAACTAGACATCAACAATGGGGTTTTGACTATAAAATGGTTAGTGTTCAGAGAAAGAAGAAAAACAAGAAAAGAAAGGGAGAAAATAATCTAAAGCAACCACACCACGTCCATCTCTTAACCTTTCCTAGTTTCCTAATCACTATGCCACCATCTCACTCAAGGCCTTACCCAGCTTTCTCATCACATTGGCCTCCATTGCTGCTGCATCACTACCTCACACTCCGCATAATCCACACTTGCTGAAGTGAGCAGATAGGTTCCATAACCTCAATACTAGTGTAGGCTGATTGAAAGTGGTGGCTGGTGATACTGGAAGGATATTTATACCGAATCAAATAGTTGAAAGAGCACTCAGGTCTGTACGAGACGTTCTTCATCTTGATATCACAATGGCTGCTGCCTGAAAAGAGGGAGGGGAATGAAACAAAAACAGATGTAATATTTTTTTAAAATTAATGTTAATGAATATTTATGCGTTTTACTCTTGGGTAAAGCCTCTTTTGCCAATACCCATTATCTTTTGTAAGTTTTATATTCTAATTCTTATACCTATATTAAATCCGATAATCATATTTTCTTTTTGTTTCTGACGATGCTAATAAATTGTTTCATTTTCAGGCCCATACAGAAGCAATGCTGCTCTCAGACATACTCCCTCCGTCCCGGAGTATTTGTCCAGTTTCATTTTTACACACCATCCAATGCACTTTTTTAATCCATTTTATCTTGTAATTTGTATATTAAAAAATTATAGAAATTATATATTAATAATCTATATGTTAAGACGAATCAAACAAGATCACACATGACTAAATTTAGGCATACACATTGAGAGAATTTGATGAGTCAAAGTGCTTAGATGAACAGTTCCAAAAGTTAAAAGTGGACAAAAATTGGGGGACGGAGGGAGTAGATATAAAGTATAGTATGTCTCTATATTACTTGTTATTATAAGTTTCTTACTTCTGAGTTATGAGGTAGTCACGTCTCATATGATGATTAGCAGGTTGATTTTGTCCCAAATTTTTACAACTCACAAACAGAGCAATCTCTACTCGCTGCTAGAATCCCGAACCTGCTTCTGAATGCTGCTCTGTAATTACAAGAATCGGTCTGATCTAGAAAATAGTTAAGTCTTTTGTTCTTCTATTCATTTCTATACCAGTTTACATATCCCTTTGTCATGCGATTGTTTCCATTCTTTATGCTTTCAGGTTGGCCTGGCCACAAATATCCCTCCACACAATCTTGGAGAGCTTGTTGATGCAATGTCTTCCTATATTCATAACCCAGAAGTAACGGTAAAATTTAATTCAGTTATTTCGCATTCCTATGTTGAGATTACTTCTCTTTGCCATTTTGAGATCTGTTTTTTCATATTGCCATCTTGAAAGTACTTTTATTCTGTTGGAGGTTCGTTTTTTGTTTTTCTCTTTGACTATTTCCATGCCATCGTTTGCAATCTAGCAGTCTCTTTTTTCCCCCAAAAAAGAAAAGCAGATGCATTTTTGCATTATTAATCCAGATCCAACTGGGAGCTTTATCTAGTATTGTAACAGTGGTCTTGATTGTTAACCCAAAACATGTAATAACTCTACCTTAAGAAGGCGATTTCTCCTACATTGACACGTATGTGTTACCTCTTCATCATGCGCTCTCTTTATTTCATTCTTTTTTCTGATAATCTTTTGTATTAATCATTTTTTCATTCTGGTCATTGATAATGTTGCACTTCCTGGGCCAAGCTTGATCTTTATTGCTTTCTGCCTTTCCCTTCGTGTCATATCTCTAGATTGTCAACTTGGTTCCTTATTTCTATAAAATTAATATGCATTAGATCTGCTTTGGTCTTTCATGCTGTCATATATATGTACTGGGGCACATGTTTACTTGCCTTGTAGGACGATACTTGGATTCCTTTGATCTCTACACTCCACATGCTAAGTCTAAGAAACCTTGGCAACTTTTAGGTGGTGTGAATTATGTATCAGAGATGAATCTAGAGTCTTTAATGTGTTCCTAGGCGGTGACCAGTTTAGCCACACGTCTTGCCAAATAGTTTTAGCTTATATTTTACGAGCAGGAAATTTATTCAAATAAAATAGCACAGTATTATCACATCTGACTTCTTGCATTGATTGATGATATCAATGTCACAGGGGAGTGTGCTTTTTAGCGGTCATGACCA